GCAGCTAGAGGGTTGAGGTTTTTTTAATCTAAGAACAACTTACATAAGTCAGTAAGCAGCACACAAACGACAGGTCAGGCTGTATTCAGAAGACTATCGTGCACCCACGCAGAGACAGAAAAACTGACGGAGCCAATTGAGTTACAGTTAACATTTCCTTTATTTCAGTATAAGAATTCCTGAACTGAATGAAGAGTGATATTTTGGCCCATACTGCTAGACTAGATAAATTCTTTAAGTATGCGGTGCCACAAGTGTACACAGTACTATAATAGCAAAAAAAAAAAGACGGCCTGGGACAAGTTTCATTTTTATTATTAGCAGGAGTTAGACGTTTCAGATAAGGATATTACGCATTTCTGAATTTGCCTGGAAAGTTAATTAAAACTATGAGAACATTTTAAAACAGTATAAAATTGCCTACAGATACTCATGATACTTTGGTAGGGGGATGTGGAATAAAAACCTACATCATGTAAACATTCAGTTAACAGATTCTCTGCACTCTGAAGCCTAAGTAATACACAAGAGGAGAATAATTACATAAGAAACTTCAGTTTTCTACACAGCATGTGCTGCCAAAGAACAAAAAGCCAAGCTTAGAACTTTTTTTCGTGGGAAAGTAGAGCCGTTGTAACAGAACTGTATGGTCTGGTGGGCAGTGCAGGTCATGTCAAATGTTAGAGGCTTTAGCAGAGGTTTAGCAAGAAAACAAGTCCAACTACTTCTAGTGTTCCACAAAAATTGTCCCCCTGACTGCTTACTGATGCTTTCAAACAAGGGAAAAAATAATCTACAGGCATACAGAAACACAGGAGACAACTGTCTGCTAAGTCACAGGATGTAAGGTGACACTATATATTAAATTATCCTTGAGCACTGCTCTGAAGAGAAAATTACATCTGAAGGAAGCTAGAATGAAATGCTAGAAGCACACTGGTTCTGTTTAACAACCTGCAAGGTTAACTGCAACTGTTTTTTCTTTAGGGCAGTAGTTTCCTTAAAATAACATGAATTCCCTTCTTCCTTCCTGTTCTCAGGATCTCAAAGACAGTTATTTTTACCTTCAGTAAGAGAGCCCAGAACATTTTAGTTGTATACTATTAGGACAACTAGACTCCAGGGTTGACAAATGGAGGTGAGGTACTTTTTGAGTTGCAAGCTGTGCATGTCTCACGGCTGCCTTATCAAATGCCTTACCTTTTAAACACGTTTTCTCCATTGTGTATGCATGCTAATACCCACTGAAAATGCAGATAAAGCAAATCTGTCTCAAATCAGCAATGAGGAAAAAAATACGCTGTTTAATATGCAGAAAAAGAGCATTAAGGCTTGTGTTATTATAATTTGCACTGTTCGGCCTTGGAAATACAAGAATTTGTAGCTATAACCGGAAACTGAGCTTGTTTTGACACTGGATGTTACAGAAGGAGGAAAGAATTCCCTAAGGTGTGAGGAACTTATGATAAAAGCAACCCCTTCAAAATCTTTCACAGGCTTCTTTAAGCTGCCATCTGCTGGTCAGCTCATACTTGAGGAAGGTGTGATGAATGACAGGCTGGCTAACTTAGAGAGTATTATATGTGCTTTATTTGACCTCTCTTATTAAAAAATTACAGTTTCTTTCACAAAGTTCATAAGTAGTATCTAGACTCTGCACGATACTATGACACTTATCTGCTGTCAACAAATTCATCCAATTTAATGAAGCCAGACAACAATCACAAAAATGGATTGAAAAGCTAAAGCAGATATGTTTCATGCAAACACACCAAGTGTGCCAATAATCCAGAAGTAATGGTAATGTAAAGTCTTCTTTATTTATTAAAAAAATACTGGTTACACTCTACTGGCACCTACTACATTACTGGGAGGTGGAGGGCCAAGGTAAGAAAAAAAGAAATTAAAATACACCACCTGTATCTTTTCTCTCAAACACCATGTGCTTCTGGATGGTTACACCAAATCTTACACAGGCAGTAAAAAACTACTCCGAGCTTTTGCAGACTCTGAAGTGTTGATTATCTTTCTCAGATCTGGCCCTACTGGTTAATCATTAAGAATTATAAACAAAATCATATTTCACATAAGTAGAGGAGGAAGTTACCACTGGTGTCAAGTGCCTAGAAGTAAAATTACTTTGTTTCAAAATTAAATGCTTGTATGAAATTAATTTATTCCTGCACCTTATTACTTCTGTCCATCCCTCTTAAAAAAACTTCAAAGCCCAATTTTTTGAAGGGAGTAAACGCCTACCTTTAATCTCTGATATGTCAGGTCTATAAATCTCTGTTTGCAGAAGTCCACACCCCTACTCCCTATCTCTCTCCCAAAGTAATTTATCAATTGAAAATTTAGCCTTTCTGATTTTATAGCATTTCAAATAAACCCCATTTAAAAAATATCCCCAAATAACAACTAAAAACATCAAAAATATTTTTTTAAAACGTCAGATAAGATGCATCTTTCATACAAGAAAGAACTGAGCACACCTTTCCTAAGAACCTGGTTGCAAGAGACTGACATATAAGGGGTGTGCAGGTAAAACAGGTGTTGACAAATAACAGTCATATCCAGGTTCCATTCTGGAACAAGCTGTCCACAAATAGCATGGGAGGAAAAGAAAGGAGAGGGGAAAAAAAAAAAAAAAAAAAAAAGACCAGAATCCTCTTAATACACACCTTATGGAGGTGTATGTGCTTGTGGAATATGCAGAATTTTTCCTGTATTTGTTAAGAGAGCACCTAAACCAACAGTTAGAAGTATTATAGTGAACACAAAAATATAAAAGTTAATCATTAAATCTATTTAATGTTGAGAAGTATTACATCCTATTCAATAAGCTGTACAAGGCTTTCATCATTACCTGATTGTGTTTATTTTTTAAACCTTTTCCCTCAACACTGGAGAAGGTTTCTCTCTAGATAAATGCTCTCAGGCCATACATATTTAGCCATTTAAACAAGTGCTAAATAATACAAAAGGGAAAAATGTTTTTAGAGCTACCCACACAATCCAAAATTTCTGTCTTTCCTTGTTTTGTAGAACAGACCAATATAAAGTTCAGAAACACATGCCTGACATTTTTGCTTTATTTAAAAGGCAAAATGTATCTAATACAGGAAACAAACTAGGTCCAGTCCTTAGGTGGTCCAAGTTCAGGTCAGTGTAGCTTTAAACCAATCCAAGGATCCAGCCCACTAATCTATTTCCCCCTGCACCCAGTCCCCCCAAAAATCTCTGTTATTTGACAAGGTGTATATTCTGTTATGCTGTTTGGGACTTTTTCTGTACTTTAAACCTTTTAAACCCTTGAAAACGATTAGTTCACTTTCTAGTTTGTGTGTCTATGTTCTGTGAGCAGCGTATGGTGTGAATTTTTCTCACATCTTTTACTGCTTAGCAGTAGCTGAGTAAATTAGAGTTAAGTCTTAAAATTTCTATCTCAGCCTATAAAACCACATGCTTTCTCACATATGAATCATTAAGTTACAACACCAAATCCTATAAAAATGAGCCTTTTGTTAAGAAAGACTTCTGGGTAGTTCTTTTCATAATCACAATATCTAGAAACAGAATAATCTTTCTCCTGAGTACACAATATTTAGAGATGCATATTTAGAGCCAAAAAAAAAAAAAAAAGACAGTAAAAAAACCCCTTAAACTGGTCTGGCTGAATAGATGGTCCCAAACAGAAACAGCTTTGACATATTTTTACTTATGATCCCATCAGTAAAGCCAAACCAGAAGAAACTGGTAAGCCAAAAGATGGGAGTCTCTTAATTGAGAGAACAAAGTATTACTTTACTATGGACATTATTTCCCGTGGGACTTCCTTTGCTTGTTTTGTTGGGGTACAGGAGGGAGAATTTAATGTTGTGTTTTTTTTTTCTTTTAGTTAAAATGTTTTTCCAGTTACAGTTAAGATATACAGCCATTAACATGCAATCTTTTTCCCCTACCCAAAGGTAAACTGTTTACTGAACATTATGTCTAGGTATTTTAACTGCATTCATCACAGTGTCTAAGCACCTCATGCATTTGTTAGGGGAGATGAGAGTCCCTAGGAGAGCTGGAAGCCCTACTCCCTTGTTAGCAGGCAAGTATTTTCTCTACAGCTTCTGTAACACAAACTGGGTGAGGCTGTTTGTCTATGGATATTTTACTAAACCCTACCAACTACGTCTCCGAACCCACCTGCGAAACAGCATGCACAGCTTCACCCTCATGCTGCCACTCTTTGGCTGATTGGGTTTAACAGTGTGGATGACTTGGGGAATGGCTCAATGGATTGTATGAATACACTTCTGGTACATACCTTTCATTTACTGTATGCCAATTGGAAAGAATTACAGTTCCAAATACGCAGAGCTAAGACTAACTAGGATTCGCAGGTATCAAAAAGATACATCCTTCACTGCCTGTTTAACTCTACTGGGGATGGAGCTATTTGCATCACAGAGAAATAGCACTTAAAAAGCCTGAAAACTAATCTGAGCTCAAAGGGGCTCTGCTCAGGAGAGTTCTAGATCCAGTTCTAGATCAAACAGAGGATTAGGAAATTTGCTTCAATATAAAAGCTATGGCAACATGACAATATTGAGTTACATAATGTAACTAATGTAGTACACTTACATAAAAGTCTGTAGAAGAAAATACAGAACACACTGGCATTGTACTTTGCCTCTAATAGAAGGTTACAATTCTAAAACGTTGCTGGTAAATACATTAAAAACCACAATAATACCTCGACGTCCCCAAATCAGATGTTCGTGTTACAATAAATGAATTTGCAATGCACACATTAACAGGTTTCACGGAGGCCAAAACTGTAACTTTTCTAGAGCACCAACGTTAGAGAATTCGCCTTTGATTTTTGTGTTTTGATTTTTTTGTTGTTGTTGTTTTGTTTTGGTTGTTTTTTTTTTTTTTTAAGCAAGATTCACACCTGATAATTTCCATAATTAAATGGCTGTGTGCAAACACCACTTTTTTTTTACCTCATTCTCAGTTAAGGAAGCTGAAGGAGATGAACTCTTGCTAAAAGCAAGAGTTGAAGATTCTGCTGCTGAAGCCCGATTTCGCTTCTTCAGAGGTTTACATGCATCAGACAGATTTTTCGTTGCTGTAAAATAATTTTGGTTTACAAAGTGAAGTTTGGAACTTTAAAACGTCATCTCCCTGAAGCCACTTAAAAATATTCCTTCGGATAAAGGAAGGAATTATTTAGGTAGGTCTTCTGGGCACCCACGTAGGGCTGAGAGAACATGAAGAAAGTTTCTGAAACCACGTGTTTCGGCTTGATTTTAAAAATAAAAAGGTTTCCATTGATCAAACATCTGCTACAAACGGCTAAGGAATGTTTGTTTTCTCAATTTTTTTTTTCTGGCTCATTTCTATTAAAATCGAAATATCTTGTGACTTACGACCTCTTTAAAGCAGAGGTAACAGTTATATCAGAAGGCCTACGTGATCTCATCACAGCCTGAGTACCACTAACACTTTATTAAGAGAAAGGTTACATACAGGAGCCAAGAACCGCACATTAACTATGGCACGTCACCACTTCTACTTGGTGCAGAACTTGCTGAAGCTCAGTTGTCTTTGGCATATCATCGTAATACCTAAAGAGACATGCCCTGACAGAAGTTACCTCGAACTTGAGCATCATTAACAAGTCTGACTTTCGAGTTTTGGTCCAAGAATTAGAATCCCCTCTCATGCTCCACACTGCCTCCCATCAAGCATCATTCAAAAGGACTGAAGTCCCACAGTAACTGATGACACTGATGGTCACTGCCCTTGTTTCACTGGGCCAATGCACAGTGACAAACTGGAGCAGCAGGATTCGTATCCCTGCTGTCAAGAGCACGAGGCACCGGCTTTAATTTGGTGCCATCAAATGGTGAACTTGTGAACTGCTGCTCTCAATCAGCAACGCACAACTTCAGTCAAGGATAACGCTGCAAAACGGTAGCGAAGGAAGAGGACATGCTCCCCCCCAGATGTGGCACACTGCCTGAAACTGGTGACTGCATCAGCAAAATTTAGCGGCTGCCTCAGACAACCTGGTTATTTTAAAATTACTGAATTGAAAAAGTTACATTAAAATTTATTCTGACCACATTACCTGACTGGTTCTTTTGTGAAGAGGAGGTTTCTGTGACCTTAGAAGAGTTTGTTTTTGCTGTTTTGTCATTGCTTGTCTCCCTCTGTCACAAAAAAAAATATGAAAAAATAAAAAAACTCCTAATTTATGAGTGGTTGGATAAAACTGGCAATTAGTTCTGGATTTATATTATTAAAAAGAAAGTGTCTTCACAAATATATGAATGGTAATGTAGTTAAGCTAGCCCCATTTAAGTGAATTTTAAAACTCATTTACAGCACAGGGTACAAACTCATAAATAACTGAGAAAAATTAAAGAACACAGTATTCCAGCATCCCACTTATCCATCCCAAATTCAGCATATCAAAAGAGGGAGCTCTAAATGAACACAAACCTTGTAAAATTATCCTTACTATTCTTTGTCTAAACTAGTCAAAGGAAAATCTTCAATTATTAAAGGTAAACTGGAGAATTAGTATAGAAATTTGAGAATAAACCCTGTGCAGAACTTTAAGTCTCAGAGAGGCTTGCTTTCAACTCCACAACTTATAGCAGTGCCATTTTTTAAATTACTATGGTTAAGATTGTTTCAGCATTTCCAAAATAATACACTATTTTCAAGGGAGAATAAACATCACCTAAATTTGCTCCAGATTGAGAATTCAACATTAAAAGTCTAGGCTGAGAACTGGGAAAGCTTTTGTCCAATCTTTGTGAAAATTAAGACATTGTTTCTTACACATGCCACTATTTTTTTTTTTCATTTTTGTATATTACAAATTCATTTAAGTTACTAAAACTGCAGCCAAGAGTGCTTAATCCTCACAAATGCTCACCTGATCAAGAAGAGCAATTCTAATGAACAGAAGGTTTTACACACTTTTTCACAGTCTTCATCTGACAATTGGTTTAACAAAAGATGTGCAGGTGAACACCTCTAAGGCCAGAGAACTGGTTTCCTTTGTAAAAATAAACATGAATGGCTACTGAACTACAGATGTGCTGCACTGTGCTTTTACTGACTTCTGACAGACTAAGCTGCCCTACCAATGATGCCACCAGAGGCTCCCAATATCAGTTTTCCAAGATTACTGTTACACTTCTGTGTAAAAGTGAAAGAAAACACGGTGTCAAGGGGACTCTTTTCAGTGGTGCCCAGGGATAGGATGAGGAGCAGTGGCCAATAAACTCATACACAAGAAGTTTCACCTCAACATAAAGAAGAATTCCTTTACTTTGAGGGTGGCAGAGCACTGGAACAGGCGGCCCAGGGAGGTGGTGAAGTCTCCCTCTCTGGAGACATTCCAAACCCCCCTGGATGTGTTCCTGTGTCACCTGCTCTACGTGACCCTGCCTTGGCAGGGGGTTGGACTACATGATCTCCAGAGGTCCCTTCCAACCCTAACTTTGTGAAAATTCATTTAAATTTCAATTCTTAAATTTAAAGCACACTTTACAGAACCCCCATTCTGTTAATGTGCATTTTATATACATTATCAAAGCAACAATGACCAAATTAGTTTTCAAAACTCCCTTATGGGTACTTATGACTTGGTCACTATGTGTGAAAACATTCAGATTTTGTAAATAAGGACTCAGGACAAAAGCAGAGTATAACACAAAACAAGTAAAACATCATGAAATAAAGGCTTTAAAGTTATCCAAAATTACTGCAACTTAAGCCTGCAGGTAAACTGGGAATAGCAGAAGGAAGGTGTATGGTTAGTGTTTGTTTTCTGAATCATTACGTAGACACTTTCACTGTCATTCATGAAATGTTTTACTAAGCAGCAGCACATGCAGCTGGAAGTACCTTGGGCTCGTGAAGGCAGGAGAAAGACTAAGAGATAATTCCTAAAAGAAACTGCAAAGCAACCATTTTACCATATCTACCTTTCTGTGGAGCACAAACCCTGCTATAAGCAGTCAGAGTTTCCAAATCGTCCAATATTTACACATATCAGATTCCCTGCACCAGAACCTCCTAGTTCTGATAAACAGATCAGGTAGAGGACAACACTCTTTAAATGCACATTACTAAATCAGTGTTATTAGTGGTATGTATCTCATGGGAATCATTCCTCTCATTTCCCTATTTTCCTGTTGATGTTCACACCTGTGTCAGAGCAGCAGACACCAGAACCTCCCATGCACGAACTGTACTGCAACCACCTTTCATTCTACTGGTGATAATGCAGACTAACTGTAGTGTACAAATGCTGGGGGGATAGTAAAGTACCTTTAGGATACTTAAAACAAGGACTTCATAGCAGGAATTAATTACAATAAGTAGACTTCATTATTCCATGGGCCTACTGTATTATTGTGTATTCAAATCAATTAGAAGAGTTTAAAAAGGTCTGGAAAACTGCTCCTAGAACGTAAGATGAATATTTCAACAACTAACCTGCTAGAGAAAGGAGTACAAAAACCAGTTTGGCCCCTCCTTCTGCAAAGGTAACAACATTAAAATTATCTCTGTCCCTTGCTAATCAGCTCATTAAGCCTGGCTATCTGAAATTCTACTTGTCTTTTTTTACATTAAACTCTAAACAAGTTGTCTTAATATCCACAGTATCAACAGAATTACTAAAATAACCAGCCTACCAAACAAATTGACGTCTACGAATGAGACCTACATAGTTTATTTAAAAACAAACCTACTACCTTTCCTTATATTAAGTTGTTTCATTTAATTGCTGTACCATCAGAGTTCTGAGATGAGGTCTGTGGAACTCACACTACAGAATGATACTGCAGTAACATATCTGAAAACATGCATGAGCTAACCTTTCCACACAAGTGAAACCCATTCTCAGTAGTTCCCTGCTCTACATGCATGACTTAATAAACCTGTGCTGAAGTCTCCAGATGATAAGTATTGTGTCCTTATACACAGTTTTAGTGACCTATGTAAGGAAAAGTCTCACGAGCAAGCTAACCTGAAAAGGAGCCTGTGAATTGTGTGATATACAATAAATTTACTGCATAAATACAAACTTACTGCAGTTTCCTAACTTAAAAAATGGGCCAGCATGCCACCCTAAAATGTTCCATAGCCTTCCAGTTCATGAAGTTTTACTGTTTTGTTTTACTTGCTTTCCTCTCTCCTGACTTTTTGTCTAAAGTAAGTATTCACTAAGGCTATTTTTGTTTTTTTTTTACTTTCCTGTAAAACTGAACTCCAAATCAGGAGGGAAGAAAAAGAACTACAAAGCATGACAACATGGAGAGGTCACGCCTCCCTCTGCACATTCCTTCGGGAAACAGTTTTTCTCAGTGACATGTTCGCCATGGTTTAAGTCATACCTCCATTCTCAAAACAAAGCTCACATGTATCTGAACATTTACAACACTTTGGTACGATCTAGGACTTTTTTAATCCTGAAAATGGAAATGCTGACAAACTTAACTACAGCAATGTGACTGGTGCTGCTATAAATCAACCCAAACAAACCAACAACATAATTACCTTCCGATTATTCTGTTTATCCATCCTGAGTCTTTTCCTAGGTGCTTCCTGAACTTCAAAATCTTCTGTAGGTTCCTTTGTCCTCTTTTTTTGGTTTCTTTTATTTCCATGTAAATTACCTTGGGATGGGGGATGGGGGAAACTTACATGAAAAATAATCTAATACCCACTTTGAAATTATTTTGAACTGATCTAGTTATTTAAGGTACTTTTCTTTCAGTCATTATCTTTAAAACATGGTTAACATTAACACAGTTTGATGACCTTTTAACACTTAGGATCTGGCTTCTGGTGCTGAAGACTAACTCTAGAACACATCCAAATCAACTGCTTCATACTCAAGTTATTTTAGAAAGATGAGTCTACCTGTATAAGAACTAGTTTAACACCTAAGTGTTACTGCCCAACATTTATTTCATATCACGAGACTGCACGTGATTGATCTATACAGCTTTTAGCTCTCCTGAAGCTTTTGTCACTAAAATTAATTTGTAAGTCTCCTCCTTAAGTCTACTTTAAGTTCTCCAACTGTTACAGATGAAGATACTGGCGACATCTATTAAGGGGCCTCTGAAAAAGACAAGATATCACCAAACATACAAATTGATTCTCCTTCTGGTATGGCAACTCCAAACTCTAACAAGCTTACTTATTTTTACGGGAGACTGTAAGATCCCTTTATGAACCAGAATCCTATGAACAGAACCACACTGGTCATTTTAAACCACAAACTCGTTCACGTATTTAGATGATTGTTCACTGTACGGTTTACGCAGCTGCTAAATTACAAAAGGTCAGTGAGTAATCTACATACCCCTGCCACAGGCTCAGCTATTACTTGCACTTCAAACACTCAGGTAGGGGTTTAGGAAGTGGTCTGTTTCATCAGGATGAAATTACAACATCGTTACACTCTCCAGTACTCCCTAGTTTATGAAGCTACAGAATACTATTAGTATGAAGATTGCAAGCTTCAGGGGCACAAATATGTTAACTGAGAACTGCCCTATAGCTACAAGCATTCTATTCCAGTGGGAACAAATATCTGTAAATATTAAAAATATAGCAACTTGAAAATATGGATAATTTTCAAATTAATGTTCTTATCTAAACAATCTAGAACATATTCTATGATCAGACTCTGAATCCACAAAGCAGACTGAAATGGCTCCAGGAGAACCTGCTACTTACAAAAAGCCAGCAAAAGAAATCCCACAATATTTTTCCAAGTTTAAGATAAGAGGATTTGAGTAGGGGAACAATTGAACTGACATATTATCATCTGTAGATAGCTATAAATGTACACAATATATGTACTAGAAACACCTGGTACAGGTACAATTTCAATTACATTTCTTGCAATATGACACTGAGGAAGGTGAACAAAATTCAGCACTACAGTGTTAAGATATTTAATTTGGGATCCATTAAAGTTCTAATGTCAAGGAAGACAACATCTG